ACAACCACCAGCACTTAGTAATTTTTTTTTCTATTTATGCATTCAGACTAAACATCACTCCCTTAGGGTACATCCTGTCTTTCTGTGCAATCATGCTGAGTAGGACTATCCCAGAGTCACAGAAATCAAGTACAAGCCCTACTTTCCTGTGAAAGATCTAATAGGCACCAAGGTGGCAAAAACACCACTTTCAAGATCATGGTTCAGCACTGTAGGATGCAAAACATATATGGAGTCTGAGTATCTAGGGAAGCAAGGAAAGACAAACTTAGATTGTTAATTCTGTGTTAAAGAGAAAACCAAGTAGAAGCCACCTCCTTTCATCCACAGGAGAATGAAATCATCCAGAAGGGCTCAGACATGCTTTATCTGAGGTGTTACAGTTTACATTAAATCATGGAGAGATGCATTATAAAAGAAAATTACGCAAGCCAGATCCTTTTCATTTCAGTGCCTCATTTGCTGGTGAATCCCACATTTCAGAAAGAAGAATCTTTCTATTAGCAAGCAGGAAATAAATTCCACAAAGCAGAAGAAATATCACAACTGCATGGCTAGCTTCCTTTTTAAGAGCAAGAGAAAAGAGACAAGCTGTAGCACCAGCTCTTCACAGGTGGCATTTTGGGGTTAGCAAGCAATACACTGTCAGTGCCAGAATGTGAACGATATTCCCTCAGTTGCAGGCCTGTCTTCTCACACAGCCCTGGCTCTTTGCCAAGGGAGGGCAAGAAACACTAGCAACAGTTCTAGGACTCAGAAGAATGCATATATTTAAGGGTCCTCTCTAGTAACAGAACTAAAGTGGTACAGGAAACATTTAAACTTTCATGTTATTTAAACAAGCTCCAAGTTCCTTATGCATGGAGACACCCTCAGCTCATAAGGCACCAGTATAAAACTGGCCACGGAGCCCTTTTCACACCTGCACAAGCAGAATGCCAGCACCACACTCTGCCTTCTCTGCTTCTGGCTCAGGGTCTGCCTAAAGCTCCATAGCTCTCTGCTACAGGGTTTCTATGTTTTAGCAGGTTGCCTCTGCCTGTCTTTACAAGTGGCTGTGTGCTCTGCCTGAAGAGAGGCACTTCTCTTAAAGGAACTACTTCTGTCCTGCAGCTGTACCCACACTGCGGCTTAGGAACTTCTATTCCAGGGCAACCAGTGGTGAATTCCTTGCTCAATACACAGAGTACACTCCCCACTCTAGTTTTTTTTAGACTCTAGAGGCTTCAGTTCCCCATGTCCAACTAAAGTGGAAACTAACAGTTCCCCTGATCTTATCCAAAATGCAGCTGTCTAGAAGTTAACATGCAACACGTAGCAACAGCCCCAAATCATCTGCTGCATCTCTTAAGCCTTCACACACAGACTACTCACCAGTCGATCACGCTTGGTTGCCCATTCCAGAGACAGCAATGGAGATTTGGAAATGGATGAAGCTTTAGTTTGCATTATGGGGTTAAAAGACCAGACTTTGATGACGCCATCCACATCCAAGCTGGCCACCCTCCGTCCAGAACAATCAACCCTGTGTGCAGGAGGAAATCGAGTGGATATTTTTTTCCCCTAAAATTCTTAAATCCTTCCTTTCCTGGCCACACATCAGTTCCTTCTGCAGAAATCAGCACTTCCTTGCACCACTTCCCCCTCAGTTCACAGTAACTGGTACAATGAAGCACACTAGGTTCCACATGTAAAGCATAACACCTTTAAGCAACACCACCCTGCTTTTCCACATATTTTCTTCCTGGCTAGCATCTCCCAATCATGAAAAATCTCTGTCCGTTCTCACTGCACAAGCTACAGGCTATTTTCAGTCACATCAACTCCACTGCCCTACACCTGGGAGTATATTCACAATGTGCTGGACAGAACAGAGTATGGGAGAAAGAGGCCAGACACAGCTGGTCCTTCTGCAGAGGCTTCTCTGAGAAAGCCCTCTTGTGCCAGTCCATTACCTGCAGTACATGATCGATGAATGGTGCTCCCCATACTCTTCCTGGCTCAGGACGATGAAAGGCTGTTCCTGCCGAACCCCCACAGCCTCTGCACTGCTGGCAGGCATTTTGCTTGAAGTCTCTGTTTGCTCAGCATGCAGCTCTGAGCATGATTCTGTCTCAGGTACACTAGTATCCGTTTTCTTCTCAGCACTCTGACCCTGAAGGAAGAAATCCTGAGTGAAATACAAGGAAGTGGCAGCTCCATATCAAGTTCCTCAACCACCCCGGCCTGCATTGCACTCTTTCTGAGGGACCTTTCTGAGCACAAGGATAGTGTGTTGCAGAACTGCACCATTTAATACGTCCCCCTTAGTTATAGAGTCCCTTATATCTCGCTCCATGTGCCCAACCATACACTTTCCTGTAGGAATTAAAGGAACGACATTTCTGGCATACCTCAGCCAGTATTAGAGGCCTGTTTAGATGCCATTAGAGCACAGATTCACAAGTAAATCAATGTATTTCAAGGAATTTTTGCATTCAGCAATGTAAGTCTGTAACAGGCAGTTCAGGAAACCTGCACAAAAACTCTTGTTGGATCTGAAGTCCCAGTGGATGGATTATCCTCATCTGCCAGAGATTTGGACTATGTGCACTGGAGCCAACACTGCAGCCAACTGACTGATGACAACAGCAGTTGACACATAAGTCCAAAAGCTTAAAACTCAATTTGACAGGGCAGACAGAATAAATAGAGTTTTAGGAAGTGAAGGTATTGGATGAGACAAGATCTGCACTGCACACACAGAAGCGTCTGGAAGCAGCTTAGCCTTCCCTTGCTACCAGAAGTGGAACAAGCAGCAGATATAGCACATGAGCCAGTAAAACATCTGCAAGCATTCTTTTGCTAAAACGTCCTCTGAAGATTAAATGTCCCAAAATGGTATTGATGGGTTTGAATCCCTGTTCCCTAAGACATGCTTGCCTTATTTACAGTAGCTTCAGATCAGGACCAGTGGATCAAACACTGTATAATCAAATCATCTAAAATCATGGAGCTGGAGAAGACTGGAAAATAAATCCAAGAATGATTCTCTCTGTTAGTTAATGTGGGGAGATACCAACCAATAAATGACAATCATGAAAGAAAGTGCCACCTTTCAGTTTCCTTTTTGCTCACATGCTCTGAGGACAACAGGAAGCTAAATAGCATCAAGCTTCCCCAAGAGCACCACAACCAATTTTTACAGATCCCCAAAAAGTACTGCCTTAACCTGTAACACGACGGAAAAAGGAAACTTATTGGGAAATTGAGCTTTGCAATTTTCCAACCGATGTATAAAGTGTTTTAGATGAGCCACGAACAAAAAGTAAATTCTCTTAAGGCCTTGAATACCCAGTGTTGGAGTAACATCTCTCTAAAGCAGCACTCCCACACACAGAAGAGCCACATATACTGGTGAACAGGCAACAGTCCCTCAGCACTGTCTCTCCCCCACAGCAGTCTCATACAGCCAAAATAAACATGGCTGAGATGCTGCCATCATTCCTCCCGTGCTCTGCATTCTTTGACAGCATGGTTGCTGAAAGCCTGTATTAACAAGGTGAACAGAAGTAGTCTGCTGACCATCAGCAGTTAAAATTCAGGACACAGTTTCATTATTGCATTAGATTTGACAGCAGGGCACAGCTCCAGGCAAAGCTGCACTATAAAGTGCAAAAAACGCCAAAAAGCAAATGTTGCTAGGAAGGATATTTCTACTTCTATCCAGGAAAATTTTCTATCAGTTTTGATCTGTCCCACACACTCACGTGGGCAGGATGGGTGAGCTAAGTCCATTGTCACTGAGGAATGGGGATTTTAACAAGGCATTTGAACATAACCATTAAGGTGAATGAAACATTTGGGCCTCAGGAGCAGAGTGCTGAAAAAGACCATGACAGAAGACAACTCTTCTTCCATCTGAAATGTCAATACTGATTATTTTCCAGGGACAGGGAAATAAACTTGAGTGTGGAAGGAGTTGATTAACCAGAGAGATTAACCTTTGATACAGTTAGTTCTGAGCAGCAATTCAGAAGCTTAAGGGAAACACTTGCACTTGTTTTACCACTTAGCAGACGAAATACCAGCCTTCTGCTTCCCAGCCTTGCAGTGTTTTCCAGTACCTGGGAGGTCCCTTTGGACAGCAGTTCCTTCCTTTCCTTCCCATGCTCCTGCAGGCGCTTCTGCCGCTGCTGCAGGGAACTTGAGTCGCCTGCCACTAACCCACTGAAGTGGCTTTTCCCATCCTTACAGCTCACTGCTCCTTCTTTTCCTTTGGCACTCTGGAAGGCAGAGAAATGATTGGGCAAAGTTGTGCTTGTGCTAGGCTGCAGAATGAAGAGCAAAAGAGGCACAAAACCCAAGAACTTGCAAGGGCTCCACAAGCTCCCAGGAAACAGCAGCTGTTCTTGTGCTGCATCCAGGCCCAGCACATATTTGCAAGGAAGGAAAGGACATTTCACCTTTTTCAGGTGGAAGCAAAAGGTTGAATAGTGCCATACAGCAAGTCAACACCTTTGAGACTGAGCAAACTTCAATGAACACAGTTGAGAATTACCTGGTGATTTGCTGGTTCTTTCTTCCCTAGCAGCATACTGCCAGTCTGTGTTGGAGAAGCCCCACTTGGATGGGCTGATCTGGAAGGGCCTTTTTTACTTTGAGAGAGAAAAGAGGACAGAAAGCCTCCCCGGGACTGAAGAGAATGTGCTGTACTCCTCTGATTGCAGGTCATGTCACTAATGAAAAAAAATAATCACCACCAAATAGAGTATGAAAGAGGAGCCAGGCAACCTGATCAAAGACCACCCAACAAGTGAGGAGCAAGCTCTTTTGAATCACTAGAACACAGATGTTAATTTCTAAGCTAGTAGACCACTATGCATTAAAAAACTGTTTTACAACATCCTGTTAGTGCCTCGAGCAGATCATTATAATTACTGAAACCGAAGCTCATTTCTCAGAGATGCCACTGAGACGCTGGGCTCAACTGTTGCTGAATCCCCTGCAGGGCCACCTCAAACTCCTTCCACTCCACCTGTTTAGTCCATAAAGACCATAAGGGAAAGGCAGGCAAATCCAGACCTCCAAAGAACCTGTTCAGCTGAGATTCCCAATTCAAAATATAAACCAGTCCTACTTCAAGAGACATTCACTATGCAGTGTCTCACTGAACACTTTCAGATATTCAGCAAACCATGTTCAGCAGTTTTACAGCACAGACCCTCAACTATCTCAAAATCTGGACCCAAAGAAAATAAGAGAATTACAGCATATTTCTATGATTACACACACCTCCCTTCTCAGTCCACAATGCTAAGAGCAGCAGCTGCTTCCCAGACCATACCTGTCTGACCTGACTCTGCTACAGCTTCCACTGAGAGCAGAGTGGCAGCAAGGGGAAGAGGAATACAGTAGTCTTCACTGTGTTTATCTTCAAGGAACTGTTTTACCAAAGCTGGGCTTTGGGTTGAGCAGAGACATGAAAATAAGCAACCAGAATTGGCTCCCAGACTAAGGGACAAGTTGCACACACAAGAAATACCACTTCTTAGGCAAGTTTTTCTAATACGAATGGACAAAAATTGAATATAGGAGTAAGTTATGTCACCCCTCATGTCACACTCCTCCACACGTGCAGATAATATCAGGTCTTTCCAGACAGTTAAATAACACAAACTAAGCTCTGTGACCTGTCTGGTGTGAAGAGTCCAGAGCAGTTATCAAGGTTGATTCAATAGACTTAAGTGTCCATTGAACTGACAGCTGTTAAGACTAAAACACTTTTTGTGGTCCCTGCTACAACTTCCATTTGTCACTGTCAACAGGATAACTTGATCAATCCTCCTCCTGCCTGAAGAAGCACATGAGAAAGTCAAAGCCCCAGAGTTATTAATAACTTGTAGCTAAGCTACATATGCTTTCAGATCCTTTTAAAGCACAAAAAAAAACCTCTCAGTAACACAGTGAATGCAAACACACAGACTTGTTTTGCCTGACACTATACTGGGGGAAAAAATACAGATTAAATAACAATTAAACAAGCTGTATCAGTGTGTATGTTGCCTAATTTCCACAGATGGGCATACAGCAGATGTAGCCATAAAATACACTTTTAACTGCAGCAAGTTTATGGGGAATTCTGTGCATAACTGAGCCTCACAGAAGAGAAACTCATTTTCACTTTGTAAAAGCAAGAAAACATCTCTGTGTTAAAAGAATCCCTTTGGGTCATACAGTAACAGTGCCTACAAAATAGCACAGGGCACTCACCTACAGCACTGCAGGCACTGAAGTAAACAGAAATCAAGAAACAGCACTTCAGTTGGGCAATACTGTGAGGTACTGCACTGCTACCAGTGCCTTGGCTGCCCAGAACACCTTGGTGCAATGCTGAGAGCAGAGCAGAATCACTTCCATGCGTGCTTGGGCTCTCACTGGTTGGCAAGAGCCTCCCAAATAGTGAGAGAGAAGCCTGTCAAAAATTCCCCCATTAAACCCACTTAGGTTACAAGAATGGATGTTTTTCTGCATTGACTCCCAGGGCAATGAACAAGGAAACAACCCTCCAGGAGTCTCCTTGACCTAATAAAAGCAGCAGAGCCTGTCCCCAGCTCTTCCCCTACAGGCACTCACAGCTCAGAGTCCCCTAGTCGATCCATGTTGGCCACATATGCTGGCAACTTGTGATGTACAACTGCTTGTTCCACCTCCAGTTCCTCTTTCTTCATCCGGGAGGATTCAGCCTGCAAAGCAAACAGCTACAACAAGAGAAAAGAGCCAAGTAAACAAAAGGTCACCGAGATTCACCTCCTTCCCACTCACTGAGGTTGTTTACTCCTTTTACTTCAAGGGCTCCAAAAGGGTGGGGAAGGAAGAAAGTTGTTCTGACCAGTTGAGCACCACATTAGTCCAAGTAGTCAACCAATCAGTACTCTACACACATGAAACTGGAGCCTACTTAAAACTCTTCGCTCCACTCCCTGGGCTGCTGCTGTGGGGTCCTTAATGGTGATGGGAAATAACAGCAGGGCAGGGCAAGGCAGAGCTGACTAGTCACACTCTGTGCAGGCAGTTTAGGGCCAGCGCAATGCATGTGATAGACTGTAATGATGTATGGGCATGGAGCCTAGAAGGTAATCTGCTCCCCACAGCCAAGGATGCACCAAGGCAGGGTGCACCAAGGTCAATGCCACCAGGTCACCCTGAAATCTAGCTCCACACCCTGTGCAGCTCCTTCCCAAGCATGACAGTGAGATTTATCTCCACATTATGAACAAAAAGACATTTTTTTTCTTTTTCCCTTTTGGCAGAGATGAACCTCAGGATGTAGCTTTCTGTGACAGATGTGCTTTCTGCCTGTGACTCTTTTTCACGTGAAGGGTTTCTCAGGCTTTTCTGTTTCCATACATTTGATTTTCAGATATAATTCTTCTTTTTCCTTTTGTCATGGTGTTTAAGGAATAAAATTACAAGAAAAATGAGTTTTAGAAATCTAGCTTGCTATTCATGTATTTGCATTGTTTCAACAGTGTACAAGAATCATTACTCAATTTCAGCTAGCATTAAATTCAATATTTATTCACACTATATTTTATTTAAACCTGTATTCTGTAGGTAGCTGCTTCCTTTTCTGACCTGAGCAGTTCTCCAGAAGGAAAAGTCTAGTTTTACCTCTGCATATTTCCCAAAAAACCCTTATCCAGACTGTAAACTACATGCTAAACACAAACCATAGCTTTAATTTGACTAAAAACACTGACTACAAAATTGGAAAATGGAAGAGTTATATTTCAAAGCATACCTTACCCTATTCACTGACAATCACTGCAGAACCCTCCTGTCAAAGCTTGACCAATCCACTAACTCCACACACCACACAGTGACAAACCTCACTTTTCTTTCATAGAAAAAAGCCTCCTTTTTGAAATCAATGATTCTATTTTACTTTAACATTTTTAGGACAGTGTTGAACAGGTACCAAAACAACTGAAACAGGAAGCACAACATACAACACAATGTTTTGTAACACAGGAGGTAAATCACAAAGCTTATTTTACTCGAGTATTCATGCAGAAAGAGGTTTTACTTGGTATGTTTGAGGAAGTGAAGCTAAAGTTCTGCTTACATGAATAAGGCTTCCTACTTTTATGTGATTATCCATGTGCGATCTAGGGTTTAGGAAGCTCTTAAACTGCAGATTTCACTGATCTCTCTAACAGGAAGTTATACTGGGAAATGACTGACCCATGCTAGATATTCTTACACCCTCTCTCTAAGCATCTGCTGATGATACTGTCCAAAACAAGACACAGAGCTGGGAAACATTTTGTCTGAACCAATCAACCCTTCCTATGGTTTTAACTCTAAAGTTTAGAGTCGGGAAACAGACAATCACAACATTTCCATTAGCTGACCTAAATTGCTTTAAGTGCACATCAAACATGGTGAAGTGGCCATTTCAGAAGTAACAGGTTTTGTCTCTTTGCCAGAATCACTGCCCATTTCTATTGCTTCTATTGCTCTAACAGCTAAAGTCTGGAAGTAACTGAACACTATTCACAAGTATCCCTGCAAAATTAGTCATAAATTATCCAGAAATCAAAATAATCCCTTCCAACCCAACCCAATCTATAACCCTGCAATATACATCTTTATCCTGCCACTAGTTTCACCTTAACTTGACTTTGCAGTGTAGCAGAAAACAAGTTTGCATAGTATCCAGCCACCTGTTAGCATAGGGAAAGGGTCAGTCACCTCAAGCAGGACAGGAATACTCTAAACAGACAATTCACTATATGATCATAACTCTGAATTTGCTGGAGAGAGTTGAAAGATAAAATAACAAAGAACTTAAAGAATCTGCCTTAGAATAACTGTACCAAACTGAAGAGCTACACCATTCCTCAATGAATGGAACCAATTTCACAAAACTCACAGCATCACAGAGTCAGCAGCTGAAGAGTGACCTCAGTTCTCACCTTATGCCGCAATGATTCATTTTCTTCTTGTATGAGACTGCTCCTGAGACATTCAGCTTCAAAGTTCAGAATGACTGGAACTGGTAAGGAATGTTAAAGAAAATCAAGGCAAGAATTTGTGTGCACCTGGCTTAATTCCAAAAGCCAGCACTCCATACCGGCCATCTGCCTGGAAAAACAAGGAGCATACTACTAACAAGAAGAATGTGCAAGACCAGAAGACTAGCAACAGCTTAGTTAGCCAAGTCAACTTTGTACTTTACTGTTACATAAACGATTTCACGTGGGCTTTCCAAGGATTTTTGGATTATTCTGCTTTTACACTCAGAAGTGGAGGACAAGACAGGTTCTGTTACTGCTTTACTGTACACTGAAGAAACAGGTCAAGATAAGCTGTATTCCAGCTGCAGGGTAAGCCTGCCCATCAGGAAACAAATATGGCCAGAACTTCGCAGTGTGGGCAAAAAGCTGTTATTTCTGCCAACACTGAACTGCCTTCTTATAACGAGCTGTCACCAGACAATGTTGTGAACATAATGTACCCTGAGAAAGGTCAAACAGAAGATGGTAGTACAGTTAGGGACTATGACCCAAGGTTGTATGCCTGTTTTGTACTATGCCAAGCAAAGAGGAAAATCAGAACAAAATGTGCACAAGATTTCTAGTCACCAGCATAGGGATGAGTTCAGCATCAGCAACAATTGTTTGCGCCCAGGGAATATAACATAATCACCAGATAACGGAACAAGAACTATCCCAACATCCTCTAGAGAACAACAGCTTCCTATTAAGTCTTGGCTCTAAACATTCACTGAAAGCAGCAAGTTCTGTCATACTATATTCTTAGCATCACTGTTAACAATAAGCATTACACCAAGGTGAGGGGGATTTAATTATTAGTTGCCAAAAAAAGGATATGCATGCACTGAAATAAGACACTCAGGAAGTTGTGCAGAGACACAATAAATGTATCTGCCCACTGGCGTGAGAAATAGGTAGCGAAGGTGGGGTTGGAGTCTGGGGCAGAGAGGAAGGGCAGGACAAACCAATCCTTCCACTCTGCCTGGTTCTGGAGCTCGGAGGCTTGCTTGTGGAAAAACTCCTGCGCCTTGTCATTGCGGCCATTCTGAAACACAGCAAGAAGAACAGGGCTCAGCCTTCCATTAATGCTACCAGATTAGGTCTAGGACTATTTGCTCTGTGTTATGAACACACTAACAACTACTTTCATCACCCGACATAGCAAGTGGTTAGACTTAACAGATTCATCAGAGAACAGAAGACTCTCAAATACGCTAGGAGAAGCTCACAAATGCACTTAATCAAACCTTCTTTCCAGTCACCACAATCCTGCCTAAAGGCTGAGACAAATCAAACCCATCATACTAATTTCCAGCTAAACCAGTGCAGTTTGTGCCCTGACATAAGACATAAATGCTCATATACAGGACCAAAGTATACTTCAAATTACTCAAGCTTACAGCAGATGTAGCCTGAAAAGGTTTCCATCTGATACATTATACAGACTGGACTATCACACCTCAGGGTAAGCACACAGCGGTACAAAACATGAAAAAACACTTCTGGAAATGTGCCTTAGATTTTGACTCCTTCACCAACTCACATCATTAAGAGTTTTTCAGTCAGGGAATGGTATCAAGAAAGAAGAATCAAGGGGAGAATATATTCCATTGACTTTCTTGGGGTTTCAACAAGATAATCTCTGTTCTGTTTTATGTTTATTATTTTCTGTTTTACTCAAACAAGGAAAAAGACAATTATTCATTTTCTCTCCCACATTTCCTTGCACCAATCTGAACCTTGTGATCTCTGCCATTATCCAGGTTATTAACAGAGGCTGAGCAGGACTGAGCTAGCAGTACTGTCATCCTTTCAGAGGGGAACCCTCATGTCAGAGTGTGAATATCTTGCTCCCAGCTAACTGTACTTCCCTCTTCCCTACCCCATGCACAAGCTTGTCATGTGAGTCTGCATCAAACTCCTTACTACACTCCTGATCATGACACATGAATTGCTTGCTCCATACCCACCAGACCTGTCAGAGGCTCACAAGGGTACTTTATTGCTCTGGTTTCAAAGACCAGGATCTCTGCAAAATAGAAGCCTAAAAATTAAACACTACCTGAACAGCATGGACAAGGTAGTACCGGAACAGGCTGGTTTTCAGCTTGTTCACTGTTGGCCGGTACACATCTTCCAAACGGCTGAAAAGACGTCGGTCCAGATAACTCCAGTAATCCCGCAGGGCAGCCAGATCGTAGCTCTGAACAAACTGCTGCAGCTGGTCCACTATCTTATCCACCTAAAGAGGGCAAAACAGGGAAGACTGCACTCATGTGAGGGCTCTCATGGCACAACAGACTTTATGTAACTTAGTGCTGAGAAGCTTTAACTGCGCAAATAGTACAATCCAGCACTTATGCATTAGCTCCTTTCCTAATCCTGGAAACACTCAGAGTTTGGCATTAGCATTCTTCCACTCTGCAGCACTTCTTAAAGAAAACAAAAACATGATAGAACATAGCCTAGCTGCTTTTGACAGAAATATCACATTTTGTTTATCCCAGTCGATGGAGCTTCCTGCAACTAAGCAAAACTTTCTACTTCTTTTAAAAGTAAGTTGATAATGAAAAAGAAGCAATAGCGTGATTAAATGTTGAAAACTCAGGTGCAGCACCTGAAAAATAATATTATTTTTCGACTAAAAAGAAAAAAGCCCCTTATATTTAGGCAACAGAAAGAGGAAGTCATTTTAATCATATTATAATCTTTTATGCACCTTTATCTTTAATAACATCATCTATTAACAAGGTCAGCATAAAATTTTGCAACAGGATGTTTTTAATCATTATGCCTCTTTGAAAATCATTTCTGCAATATGAATAAGGCAGGATGGTGGTACAGGAAAAGACTTCTTTGTTCAGTTATTTCTGATGGCCAAGACAGGCATCATAAAAAAGACGATTGCACCCTGCATAAACTACCAAAAGTTGTTTAATACGTGGTTTGCTCTCACCCCATCAGTTAATATCTTGACACCATCCACCTTCCCTCTCTGTGGCTTCCTACAGGTAAAGGAAAGTGAAGTTTGTAACTCCAGCAGTCCTTTTTTGGTTAGTAATTCCAATTAAGTCAATTGTTTGTTGACCTCTAAAAATCAGCAACATGCTGGTGTTTTAAAAATAAAAGCAACATGCTTTATGAATGATAAAGTAGTGGTTGTATTGCTGGTTAAAGAAAAATACAACTACCCAGGACACTGCATTCAGTGCCTAGAACTGCTGCTCCAGGAACATAAAGCCCTCACAAACGAGCGAAACTATTTTCAAGCCTGGTAAATTCTGCACCAACTTCCACACGTTTGGCAAGGTAGCTGGTGTTTGAGACATACAAACTAAGGAGCGGAGCTGTAGAGCCGCTGGATAAAAATTTCACGACTGAGAAAAGATCCAGGCAAAGAAAGGTCTTCCTGCCGCTGCCCTCTCGGTACGCGGGTCTCCTCCATTCTGTAACCCTCCGGCGGGTTACAGGTCGGGCGCAGGGTCCACAGACGGCGGTTTTGGACGGGGCGGGCACAGCACCGGCGCGGCTCGGCCGAGAGCTGCTGCCCCT